AAAAGAACCTGTAAATGTTGCTGTTAATAAATGTTTACTGTTTGTTTCCTGATTTGCATCTGTCGCATATTTGGTGCTGGCCTCACAAGACTGGATTTATTCTTCCCGTTTTCGCAACAATATATAAGCAAAAAACAAGAGATGGATGAAAGCCAAATCTATTTCTAGTCTATCTGAAAATAAGTGGATGCACAGGACTAATTTTTATCAGCAATGGAATAACTGAAACATGACTTGATCTGTTTCTAAATCAATTCCCTACCTGACTTTTAAACTGATTTTAAAAAAAGTTTCAATAAAGGTCATACAAGTCATCTCTTATTTATTTATTTTAGGCAAGTGTCTGTGATTTGAATTAGGTCTAAAATATATTTCAGAAAGCAATTTCGAAAAACATGTATATTAATTTTTATCAGGGAAGTTCATTCCCTTTAAAATTTTCATGCTGCAGGAGTGCAGAAAATGGGATGGATGTTCTTCTTTAAAATGCTTCAAACATTTCAGACAAACAAGCTGGGAGGTTTGCCTACAAGTGGCTGTGACACAACATATGGTGCTTGTCTTGAATTCCTTTCCAGATCAGAGCCATTGCAACAAAATTCTCCAGAAAGTTGATGCTTCAGGGAATTTTGACTTGTTAAGTTCTGCAGAAAAAGTTCATTTATTCAAGCACCATGCCTTCCAGCTTGTAATTTATTTCACAATGCACATTAAAAAAGGAACAGCAAGATTTTAGTTTATCTCAAATAGACTTTGTAGCCTGGCATACAAAAATTAAGAAACTAGGTGTGGCACAGCAGTTATGAACTGTTAGGTGTCTCTTAACCTTAAAGCCTTTTCACTGATACTGGGAGAAATGTGTATTTTTAAAAGTGTATGAAAATCTTTAAAAGTGAATTCACAAAACTGTTGTGAAATACTTTCAATAGTTTTACTCTGTGGTAATTTCTCTTTTTATATTACTAGAATACCTAATCAGTCTTTTAAGAAAAGCTACTTTATATGAGGAAAACATTATCTCTTTTTTAAAAAGAGCAGTAGAATCTCTGCCGTCTATTTCAATTTGAGGTAGTCCATGACATGCTTAAACTAGGAACTTTGGCTTTGCTTTGTTTCTCTTCAGATTTTTAAAATGTCTTCTAGCTGAGTTAAATATATCTACAACAAAACTTTAAGCTGCCTACTCTTTGTTCTTCCTGAAATTGAACTGAAAATATAGTATTTCAGATGCAGTTCTCTGAATACAGGATATCCACTCTGTTAGGTTCCCTGGGTCTTATGAACCTAATGATAAAATTATTATAATCCACGATGGGTTTTTCTACTAACTTGCACTTTATCAATAACCTCAGCAGAAAGGCCCAAAGTTGAAGCCTAAACTGCTCCCTCACAGCTAAAAGTGACCTCTTTACATTGGAAGTTATATTCTTTGGTGAGATAATATGGGGGCACTCTGCTGCTGTTCATTGGTTACCTCCAGTAAGGTAACAGTAAACTTCCCTTTTTCCTTAACTGTTGAACATCTCTAGTAAGCCAACTAATAGCCATTTTTTAGCTAAGAGTTATAATAGTAAGTTAGTTAATAAAAAAGGTATCTGCTCTGGTTTTACCTTAAATAATTTGATTGCTTCAGTTTGCAAGGCTTCTGATGGCAGTGTCGTAAGAGGAGAAGCAATTCCTTCTTTGCTGTGGCAAAGGGTGGGATGTCTCCAGATTTGGGAAGCTAAACAAATAAAATACACAGGTTTTGAAATTAGGTCAGTTTGTAAGTACATTCAGTAAGTATTAGAAGATTAGTATGTTGAAACAAAACCAAACTTACTGGTATCGCCTTCCATGTTTAATAATTTGCAAAGAAGTTGTTCAAACTCAGATCCAACGTTTACACTGGTACTTCCAGCTGCAACTGTCAGATGATACAGCCATGTGTCCTAAAGTAGAAAAAGACACACCAGCTCGCCCCTTCCGTGTTGGATGGAGCTGCTTCATCAAGATTTTGCTCTCAACTTGAAACGCTGCTCCTGTTGAAGCCCAAAGGAGGCTGCCTTTGTTTAAATACACCTGTATTCATGGTCTCTATGTTACAATTATTAAGCAAGAAAGACTGGGCAGGGCTATCTTCAGAAGTCTTTTACCCTCAGAAATCTTGGCAAATTATCAGGACATTCTTCCTTTCCTCTTCATAAAGCTAACCTCAGTGCCATTGTATCTCTGCCAGATCCTGCTAACCTCAGGATAAGGCCAGAAGACAAAACGAGTTCTACAAGATTACCTGAGAACAACAAAGGAATAATAATAAAAATTATTTTAACCATATCCCTCATTTCTCCTTCACTTCAGCAGGGCAGTCTTCCCTGCTGTTAGTCTTATCAGTGAAAATGGCTAATAGTATCCCAAAACCTCTCAGGAAGGTCTGCTACACGTCTGTCTACAAGCTAGTGTAATGTGAGCAAAATTCTCCAGTTACAGCATATGTGGTATACTGCACCATCTCCTTATGTAGGCAAGCCTGCTTATTTTCATCTGTTTTAAATAGGATTACCTACAGTAGCACTGGTTTGCAGACAAACTCTGATCGATATTAATGAAGCAGGACCTTCTCTTCATTTATTATATCAAACTCCAAGCCAGATGAACTTGTAGGTCTCTCTCCTCCTCAAGAAACATTCATATCACAGCACCATACTCATACATGTGTTACTGAAACTCAATTAAAAAGTAATTTTATTACCTTCTCATGTTTGGATCCTATAAGAAGATAAGTGGGTCCTTGATCTTTGGGGTGGATAACAACAGTGTAATGTGTTGATAATAAACTGCGACCACTGGCCTCATAATCTTCATCAGAATCACATGATCTGTCAACTTCTTCAACCTTCGCCTCAAAAAGCTTGATTTGACCAAGAGGAAACTAAAAGTAAACATCAGAAGTGGTGAGAGAGCAAATACTTGCTTCGGTGCACACTAATTTTATACTTTTTACTTTACAAAGAAAAACATGAACCACCATCAATATCCATTTATATTTCTCCATTTTCAGTCCTACCAAGGAATGTCAGATAAGCCAGCTATTGCAGACAGCAGCAGAAGAATGATATGTGCCAAAGTCCAAAAGTGACATTTTTCAAAATTCTTTTCCAGGTCTGCTTCTGCATCTAGTTAATGTAATCCATGTCTTGAGGCAAGAGAAGTGATTCTTCAGAGTTTCCACACCTGGTTTCAAGCAACACTTCCCTGGGTCAAGCCTAGAATAATCTTGTCATTTCAAAGGACAGCAGTGTAGTGCTGACGTATCTATTTTGCTCATGCTATGAATTCAAAAGGCAATTTTTTTAATGTGGTAGGCCTTCTTAGCTGGTTTCATTCTCCAGTCTGACAGATGACAGTACTGGAGTCTTAAGTTGTATATGGAATTATAATAATTTATCAGGAAATATTTCATATGAAAAGCCATTCAAAAGTAAATCTTTACAGAAGTAATTATTTCATGGTCATTATCAACTGGAAGCCATGACGACCACAACTATAGCACGCAATCTTCACAACTGACAGAGGATGACAGTCCTCACCGGCTATTTTATGCAAAGCTCCCTTCCTTCCCACAGCACCACTGCTTCTTCTCCAGCTGTTTGGATATCAGGATGTCCAAAAGAGTGTTGTTTAATGGTGTCGTGAAGAAGCCTTGGCTACTGATTCTGTGTTGTTTGTGATGTCTAGCAATACTTAGTGACTCAGCAGAAAGATTTTCTTTGGTAAAAAGCTATTTGGGCACTGCAGTAACTACCATTTTATTTGTGCCACATTCAAGTGTAAGGCTGAAGTTGTCTTGAAATATCAATATCAGTGAAAAGCAGATGGGGCTTCTTAATAGTACTGTTTGAAAACTGAAAATACAATAATGGAGACCAGCTGGCAAGTTTGACTCAATCTAGGATGGGTTTCTTGAACAGTGATTTGGTAAAGTGAGCAGTTAATAGTATAATCACTTTGAGGAAAACATCTCATAGTGGTGGTTCTTTACTGCAGCGCCCTCACTAGTATTAAAGGATTAAAGATGAATGTGGTGTTTTGTATTTTCTGTGGTGCATCTGAAGCATTCAAGTTCTTGAACAGGATAAGATTCGGACAATCAAGAGATGCTATTTCCTATACGAATATTCAAGACTGATTTATTCACCAAGTTTAAATAAAACACAGTCGGCTGTTTTTTAAATTTGAATTCTGTTTTTAAAGGAGGTCACGTTAACCACTGCAGATTGTGTAATCTGTTTCTGCACAGACACATTCAGCTACAGCAAACATGTTTTTAATTAGCAAATTGTTGAACATTAGAAACGGACCAACTTTGGAAAACTTTTCATACACACTCTGCTTACAAAAGCTGAATTTTTATTCTACTACAAGCTAGCAAGTTACTTTCAATTTTGCTTTAAAAGGGCAGCAAAACTAGTTCCACATGTGAGAGAATTATTCACAAAAATCCAGCAAAATTCTTAGATGCTTGTAAAGGGCATGCTAAAACTCAAAAATCTTCAATGGTTAGAATGTGTAAATTCAGATACTTTAAACATAGAGATTTCTTCATAGGAGAAAATGCAAGTTAATTTTAATGTCTCTGTAAGATGAGCTAGAGATTGATACTCTAGTCATTTGACTTCCCAGCCCTGTATTACACTTTTTAAAAGAGTAATTAAAATAAAATGTTTTGATGGATGGTTACTGCTATCTTATTTGTGTAGTCTTAGAAATAAGGTTTAGTTGAATATTTAAACATAGCTAAAAAAGGGAAAGGATAACGAAGGGAATAACTAGCAGCAAACTCTGCATCCTCCTAGTCTTTTTTTTCCCTGCCTTTCTTGCAGCACTGTGGAAGCACAGTGACATACCAGAGAACAGGATTTGAAAGTCAACTGAGGGATAAAAGGAACATTTAATTTCTTGAAGCTTGCAGTCACTGCAAATATATATTAGAAAGGGTCAGCTTCCAGAAGTAAATGACAGCCAGGTCTTTTCTGATGTGCCTCACGCCTGTTACAAAGGGAGACCTGAACTGCCAGCAAATCAGTGTCCTCCTTTGGCTAGGGATAAGAAGATGCAGAATATACATCATGGCCTGTAGGAGAAGGAGACCAAGGGGCATGCCCTGGATTATTGTCTATTAGATAGGAACCTTCCAAGTTGACTATCTGTGAAGTAAATGGACATATACTACCTAATAATATACCTTAATAAAGCTGTAATTTATTGTTTAAAGTCTACTTCAGTATGGTATCTTCCATTCACTGAGGAAACAAGAAAGGGACCTACCTTGTCTTCTTGATTACGGAAATAATACAGAATTTTTCCAACTAGGGTACACCAAACTCTTTTGGAATATCCATGTTTCACCTGAAATTACAGAACATTAGGAACAAGCACAGCCAGAGAAATACAGAGTACATTTCACCATCTCTGAACTTGGGTGATGTTGGGAATAAATACCTTGGCTCAAATTCCTTTCCACATTACTAGGCAAATAATTAAAACTGCATAACTCTATTAAGGGCATAAGAATTAAAGCATTATGTGCTTGTCTATAGCCTAGTAAAGCCATGTGAGTTTTTCATTTGCCTTCGGATCAGGCCTAAATTAGTGGAAGCTAAGGAAATGGAATTAAAATATTCCTTTTATACAGTATTCTTATTATCTTGAAATAATATGTCCCAGTAATTAAGACAGAAAAAGAAAGCACACTAAATTAAGATGAGTCAATTAGCTATGCTAAACTAGGATACCACTGAAGTACAATTGAAGAACTCGACACAGGAACTAATGAATTAAAAAGACAAAAAGAAAAAACAAGTCAAATAAAATAATCAGAAAAAAAAAATTGTCCAAAGTAGGTGAGCTGGTAGGCCTTCTGGATTGTTCACATTGTAAAGGACTGGGAAAGAAAATATATGACAGTTTGTCTTGTACTTCTTTTATTGTAGGGCCATTTTAATCTAGATACTATTCTGTCTCTTAAGAAATATCGAATAAAGCAGACTGGGGAAGAAAAGTGTTCCTACCTTTGTAAGTAATCCTTTCATGGTTGGCTTGATTTCAGGCTGTATGAAAAGTGGGCTGGCAGCCTGAATTTTAAGAACATTCTGCAGTACTTTGATCCATTCTTCTAAGATGTTGGGCGAATCTGCAGTCAGGTAGTATGTTCGTTTTTCTGTGGTCAGCTATGTAGTAACAGAAGAGTGCGGAGCTATAAGAACATCACATATTCAAACCTACAGTGTGGGGGTTGTAACATACACTACCCAATGTAGTTTGACAACTTTGGAGGGTTTATTTTCCCTGAAGTACTCTTCATTAATGAAACACTCCATGGCGAGGCAGAGCAGACCCTTTTTAAGGCTTTATCTGGAAAGTCCCAGCTGAGAAAACTCAATTTATCTCTTTTCAGACAAACAACTTCTCTCAGCTCTAATGGCTGGCCCCAAGACCACTCTTTTTATTTATATCTCATATGTGATGATCTGACGTTTGTAGCAATACAAACAAGGCTACATGTAGGCCTCTCTACAGTTTCTGTAACTGAAATAATTCTTTGGTTTCAAATGAAGGGCACTGACTAATTCCAAGTCCACACTTAGACTTCCGTTGCAATAGGGACTGGAATAAGGGGTCAGTTTTGGGGACAGAGGGAATAAATACCCCCACAAACATGGATGAGAAAAGCAGGCACCTGAATTGTTTGTTTTCCATCGCCCCTTTCAATGTGGCTACATGCATTTAGCTCAATTTGACCTTGAGGTTTTCGAATGACATCACTCTGTATGGAAAGAATGAAAAAATAATATTTTAAATCTACCAAAACCCACCAATAAATAATTACAGAACTCACTTAAACATTAATCTTGATAAATACTTCCTAGTTAGACATTGAGTACCTTGTGCACTTCTTGAGAAACCCAGTCACGAATCACTCTCTAACAGCTCAGGCACCAGGAATGCATTTCTTTTCCTTCTAGCAGCGCTAGATTCCCAGTAAAACCAATCTAATATTAAACAGTAGGTAAGTTACATGTACTTACTGGAGATTTGTAGTATAGTAATTCACCTCCTTTAAGCACAAACCACCGTCGTTTCCACGTCTTTACTTTACCACCCATTTTTAACAGGTATCCGGATTTTTCCAAAGGTTCCTGATTATTCAGAAGTTAGACAAGAAGTAATTAGGTACACATAGATACCTATACCTCTCAGAGATATGTATAAGTATACACACAGAAGAGATAGTTCAGTGACTTTAAAGCATGCTAAATAATAATTATGGTATTTGATGAGACTTTTAGTCTAATGACAGAGTTTTTACATGCATCAATTAGATATGTGGGATAACTAGTTAATATCCCTACTTATAGTACGTGAAGGAGACTGAGTGATTTGCTCAGAACTATACAAAAGAACAAAAAATATGATGATGATACCTGATTTTACTTTCTAATTATTTATATTAAGTAATGAACAAAATGAATACAATGTAAATATATATTTTTTTCCAACCTCAGGGCCTAACCTACAGACCAGATACAGAGCACTGCAATTCGGAGCTCTACACAGTCACACTTTTAGTGTGTACAGTTGTAGAACACAGTTTGCAGTTTTGCTTTGTGAAGAAAACTTAAAGTAAGTTCTCTTCATCACCAGGCAGTCAGTCTACTTCTGTGTCAATGTACTAACTACTAACACAGGTAGTTAAAAACAGACTAGTACCTCATAATGGTTTGGTTTCTTTGACCTGTCCTCACATGTTACTCTACTTCCAATTTCTCTAATGTCTAAAGTTGTTTTCCCTGAATGAGAAAGCTATAGAAAGATATTGCTGCACACAGATTTCTACCAATGCATCCAACTCCTTCAGTGGAATGTCCTCCTATTTCCCCGAATATTCAAATAAACTGATTTTAGTATTTCATATGCAATATGATGCCAGATCTGGCTCCAAGAAAGGAAAATCTTAAGGGCTTGGAACCGTCGTATTGAGTTGTCTACCTATTTCCATTCATTATACAGAAAGCTCAGAATTATCCTCCACTTTCCTTCGATCATTATAGTTTTATATGGCTAACTTTCTGTTGGTGGATTTTGCTATTTGTACTCATAAGGCAGTCTGTGAGTCAGGAGGACTGAATACAGAGACTTGGTAGCAGACTTTGAACATAAATATACACATAGCACCACAGGTACACTTCTTCAAAGAACGTCAGTACTCACATTTTTGCCATTATCACTAGATGAGGAAGAGGTCTTAGGAAGCTTCTGCTCTGGCTCCGAATAGTCTGTATCTACTGAATATGCATCTGGAGGAATTGCATAGTCACTTTCTGAGGTCACAGAAGACAGAGACACCCCTGAGTTAAAAGAAAAAAGATGCTTCTTTGTAATTTTTAAATTACTGTAGAAACCAAAGAACTAAGCATTTTTCTGAAGTATCAGCATATCAATTAAACTATGAAGAAAACAGGATTTGGGTATATGTGCTAATACCCAAATCCTATTTTCTTCATAGTTAAGCAAAGTTTAAGTAACTTGTGAAGAAACAACAAATAAATGTCTTCTATACATCATCACCTTCTATTATATTACAACACCTTTTTTAAGGAGGAAGTTAGTGCCATGCATCATACTCATTCTCTAGAAAATGAATTAAAAGAAGCAACTTTTCCCTCCCCCTTTCTTCATTCGCTCTGGTATCTACATTTCTCATGCAACTGCTTGTGTACTAAAAAGCTATGCTTCGGATCTGCTATATGTTGAAGTTGTAGATGATTCTCTTTATTTTGCAATTAGTATTAACTTTTATACTGAGATTTTCTAAAAATCTGAATTCCAAATTTCAGGATTTATTTTACAGTTTAGTAGCTTTAATCCTGAAAATAATGCACTCTGTTTTCAATTCTAGTGAATCAGCAATAAGAATTCAAACTCCTCCCTTATTCGTAATAGAAATAATTATTGTCAAATGTGTGAGCATGTCCTTTTGTAAAGTTTTACTTTCTGACTAGTGTTATACTCTGAAATATTACTCTCCATGATTGAAATGAACATGCCTTGTTTCCTTTGTTTCATGAATTTCCAACCTCAGTTGCCAGTTTTATTTAAAAAAAAAAGCTTATCTCATGTACTGTTTTGGTAAGATACTCAGGCTTTCAGAGTGGGTTCATCTCTTCTCATGTAGGAACTTTAATAACAAATATGCAGCAAGATAATTATGTGCCTAGTGAAATTTGTGACTGCCTGGATTTTTAACTGATGTGATCTCAACAAAGATATGTCCACATGTGTTTTGTGGTTAAGAAAGATTTCCATGCACGAAACAATGCAAGGACTATTTTCCGAGAAGAAAGCACAAACAAAGGGCATGGTTCCATTTTGCAGACATGGATATAAATTGTGGGTGAAACCAGCTATTAAATAGCTAATTTACCTTTCCTGTTGTGCAAGCATGTAACATGAGATGTGTCCGCAGCCACAGCGCTGGTTTTTGCTCAGCAAGATGTTGCTGCTGGGAAGCAGGAACTAAGGCTCCTTTTCACACTGATGTAGCAAAACTGTAATTGCATAACTCTATATATATACATATAACTACATCACTGGAAACAGGACTCGATGCCACATGTGGCTGCACTGGAAAACTCCTAGAGGCCCACTGGCTCTATCTGCCTGCTGAAGTGTGACTGAGTGGAGCTCCAGCTAACTAGGATTTTAACATGTTTAACAGGAACAGCAGAATAATGTTATTTTGCACTTCTAAAGCAATGTTTAATAAAGGATCGTAACACTTGGCCTCTCTAGGATCTTAGATCTTAGTCTGCCACCTCTCTCTGTGTAAAAATTAAAGAAGCCCTTTACTGCATGAAATGACACAACCAAATAACTCTGTTAAGGGAACTTTTCACATAGAATCACAGAATCACAGAACTTTAGGG